CATTAAACGTTCCGTCAGAATCACCCATCTCGGATGATTTTTGATAATGAATAAACGCTTGATAATCATCTTTTCCAACTCCAATTCCATTACGATAACAGTAACCAACTTGGAATATTCCGTTGATGTTACCCATTTCAGCAGATTTCTGGTAATATGTAAATGCTGTATTTTCATTTTTATCTACACCAATTCCATTTTGATAACAAAAACCAAGATTAAATGTTCCATCAGAATGACCTATTTTAGCAGCTTTTTGATAACAAGCAAATGCTTTATGTTCATCTTTTTCAATTTCAGTTCCATTTTGGTAACAGTATCCGACTTGAACTATTCCATTAATATTCCCCATCTCAGCAGATTTTTGATAATATGTAAATGCCTTATATTCGTCCTTTTTAACTCCAATTCCATTAAAGTAATAGTGACCAACATTAAATGTTCCTTTAGCATGCTTCATATCTGCTGACTTTTGAAAATAACTTAAGGCCTTGTGTTCATCTCTTTCGACTCCAATCCCATTTTGATAGCAATATCCAAGATTAAACGTCCCATCAGAATCACCGATTTCATCCGACTTTTGAAATATCTTAAATGCTTCATTCTCGTCATTTTCAATTCCAATTCCGTAAAGATAACAATGCCCGAGATTATATACACCATCACGATAATTTTTTTCAGCAGACTTTTTATAATGAATAAAAGCTTTGCGTTTATTAATTTCAACTCCGATTCCTTTATGATAGCAATAGCCGACCTGAAACATTCCACTAGGATTTCCCATATCTGCAGATTTTTGATAAAAGGCAAATGCTTTACATTCATCTTTTTCAACCCCAATACCATTTTGATAATAATAACCCGTATTATATGCTCCATCAGAATCTCCCATGTCGGCTGACTTCCGATAATAGATAAACGCCTTGGATTCATCTTTTTCGACACCAATTCCATCTTTATAACAATTGGCTAGATTATATGTTCCATCAGAATCCCCTAATTCATCAGATTTTTGATAATAAATGAATGCTTTATGTTCATCTCTGTCAACACCAATTCCATTCCGGTAAAAATAACCAACTTGTAATATTCCATTAGAATTTCCCATTTTCTCTGACCTTTGATAATGATAAAATGCCTCATTCTCATTCTTTTCGATCCCAATCCCATTTTGATAACAATAGCCAACGTTGAACGTTCCATCAGGATCCCCCATTTCAGCAGATTTTTGATAATGTTTAAATGCCTCACACATATCCTTTCCAACTCCTATCCCATTTTGATAACAATAACCAACTTGAAATATTCCACAATAATTTTCCATTTTAGCAGATTTTTGGTAATATGTAAATGCTATATTTTCATTTTTATCAACACCAATTCCATTTTGATAACAATAACCAAGATTATATGTTCCGTCAGGATCTCCCATTTCAGCGGATTTCTGATAATATTTGAATGCTTCACGTTCGTCTTTTTCAACACCTATTCCATACTGATGACAATAACCGACTTGAAATATTCCACAAATATTTCCCATTTCAGCAGATTTTTGATAATAACCAAATGCCTGAAGTTCATCCTTTTCAATTCCAATTCCGTACTGATAACAATAACCAAGATTATATGTTACATCAGAATCTCCCATTTCAGCTGATTTTTGATAATATTTGAATGCTTCACGCTCATCCTTCTTAATACCTATTCCGTTTTGATAACAATAACCAACTTGGAATATTCCATTGATGTTTCCCATTTTGGCAGATTTTTGATAATAAACAAATGCCTGAAGTTCATCCTTTTTAACTCCAATTCCGTACTGATAACAATAACCAGTATTATATATTCCATCGCAATCACCCATCTCAGCGGATTTCTTATAATATTTAAATGCTTTTTCTTCACTCCTTTCAACACCTATTCCATTTCGATAACAATAGGCGACATTAAAATTTCCGATGTGATTACTCATCTCAGCTGACTTCTTATAGCATAAGAATGCCTGGTTTTCATTTTTGATAACTCCAATTCCATTCTGATAAAAGTAGCCAACTTGAAGTGCTCCGTTTGAATTACTCATTTCAGCAGATTTTTTATAGTGTATAAATGCCTCTTTTTCACTCTTTTCAACCCCAATTCCATATTGATAACAGTGACCAACATAATACTCTCCAATAGAATTTTTCATTTTGGATGATTGCTGATAATATGTGAATGCTTTATTTTCATTTTTTTCGATACCGATTCCATTTTGATAACAGTAACCAATTTGAAACATTCCGTTAGAATTTTCCATTTCAGCAGCTTTTTTATAATGAATGAATGCTTTATAATCGTCTTTTTCAACTCCAATTCCATTTTGATAACAATGACCAATAGCGTATTCTCCATCAGAATTTCCCATCTCTGCAGATTTTTGATAATAGAAGAATGCTTTATTTTCATTAATATCAACGCCAATTCCGTTTTGATAGCAATAGCCAACATTATATGTTCCATAAAGATCACCCATCTCTGCAGATTTCTGATAGTAGCTAAATGCTTTTTGATTATCCTTTTTAACACCAATTCCATTTTGATAACAATAACCAACTTGAAATATCCCGTTGATATTTCCAAGTTCAGCTAACTTTTGATAATTACTAAATGCCTCACTTTGATCTTTGTCAACCCCAATTCCATTTTGGTAACAGTAACTAAGATTAAAAATTCCATCGGAATCACCCATTCTAGCAGATTTCTGATAATATATGAACGCTTTTTGTTCATCCCTATCAATCCCAATTCCATTTTGGTAATAATAAGCAATATTAAATATTGCATCAGGATCATTCATATTGGCAGCTTTTTTGTAATTATTAAATGCTTGATGATCATCTTTTTCAATTCCAATCCCATTGCGATAACAGTAGCCAACTTGAAATATTCCATTAACATTTCCCATTTTTGCTGATTTTTCGTAATATCTGAATGCTTTAGTTTCATCTTTTTGGACCCCAATTTCATTTTGATAGCAGTAACCAATCTTACACATCCCATCAGAATCATTCATTTCGGCTGATTTTTGATAATAACTGAATGCTTTATGTTCATCCTTTTCAACACCTATTCCATATTGATAACAATAGCCAACTTGAAACACGCCATTAGGATTTTCTCTTTCAGCTAATCTTTTATAATAAGTAAATGCTTTGTCTTCATCCTTTTCAACACTTATTTCATTTTGATAGCAATAACCGACTTGAAACATGCCCTTGGGATTTCCTGTGTCAGATAATTTCCGATAATATATGAATGCTCTATCTTCGTCCTTTTCAACTCCGATTCCGTTTTGGTAGCAATAACCCAGATTAAATGTTCCATCAGAATCACCCATTCTTGCTGATTTTTGATAATAAATGAATGCTTTATGTTCATCCTTTTCAACACCTATTCCATTTTGATAGCAATAACCAACTTGAAATAATCCATTAACATTTTCTATTTCAGCTAATTTTTGATAATAAATGAACGCTTTATTTTCATCTTTTTCTACTCCAACTCCATTTTGATAGCAATAACCAAGGTTAAATAGGCCATCAGGATCACCCATTTCAGCTGATTCTTGATAATATATGAATGCCTTATAATCATCCTTTTCAACGCCTATTTCATTTTGATAACAATAACCAACCTGGAATATTCCATAGACGTTCCCCATTTCAGCTGATTTTTGATAATGAATAAATGCCTTATGTACATCCTTTTCAATCCCAATACCATTTTGATAGCAATAGCCAAGAATATACATGCTATCAGAATTGTTCATATCAGCTGATTTTTTAAAATAATCGAACGCTTTACTCAAATCTTTTTTAACCCCACTTCCATAATAATAATAACAGCCAACGTTAAACATTCCATCAGAATCACCCATCTCAGCTGATTTTTGATAATGAATAAACGCCTTATTCTCATCTTTTACAGTTCCTATTCCATTTTGATAACAATAACCAATTTGAAACATTCCATTATGGTTTCCCATTTCAGCTGATTTTTGGTAATAAGTTAATGCTTTGTGTTCATCTTTCTCAACTCCAATTCCGTTTTGGTAACAATAACCAAGGTTAAATATTCCATCAGAATCACTCATTTCAGAAGATTTTTGATAATAAATGAATGCTTTATGTTCATCCTTTTCAACTCCGATTCCATTCTGGTAACAGTAACCAACTTGAAATACCCCATTAAGATTTTTCATCTCAGCAGATTTATTATAATAAATAAACGCCATATGCTCATCTTTTTCAACACCGATTCCGTTCTGATAACAGTAACCAAGACTATATGTTCCGCCACTATGACCAGTCTCAGAGGATTTTTTATAGTTCTCAAACGCCATAACCTTATTCATCTCAACGCCCATTCCGTCAAGATAACAATTTCCAAGATTATATAGTCCGTTTGAATAACCCATCTTGGCCGATTTTTCATAGTAGTTGAACGCTTTATTTTTATCCATATCAACCCATCGTCCAAAATGATAACAATTTGCAAGAATATTTTCAATTATAGGATTATTTTTATCATTTTTTGAGAGTTGGCTAATTATATTCTTTGGATTTTGATTCCTTTCTTTTAGATATTGATCCAAAGTATTAAGTATATCTATAGGCATCTTTTCTTTCATATTTTCATCATTATATAAATTACATAATTCTTCAATAATATCATCTAAAGTAACATCATTTGAAGAAGTTACTGGTAAACCTGACATTTTTAATTTTAGTGGACCCAGAAACGTGGGGATAGTAAAAAAAGGCGATTTCTATGATCTAAGGTACGTATGTACATCGATTTCAGATATGCGTGTTACATGTCATATGCAGCACGTGTACGTATGCATAATGTAGATGCTATTTGAACTTGATATGGCAAAAATTTGGACTAACGCTACGCTAAGCTACTTGAAGCCACATCACATTATCGTTATAAATTCTCACACATACTACTTAATACAGGTTCATTTTTTTCAAAAAATAACAATGCTTATTTCCACCGACGAAAAGAATGCAAGACCCGTCCCTTTGAAAAAAGTTGTGGTTGAAGCGTATGGTAGTAATTTTATTTACGCATTATTACTCAATTTTTATTTCTTTCTGCGATTCTAATATATATATGTTGATAGTCATCGATATGGTAGCAGAAGGTATAAATTTTATTGTTTAAAATTTCTACGGCATAAGCTCAATTTGTTTCAATCACTTTTTTTTTGTTCTAGTAAATGTCTTTCAGACATTCGAAAACACAGAAAAAAATAAAATAGAAGCTATTTATAAATTTATGATTCGCGATAACTCGGCAGTTTGCGGGTTTGAAGCTACAATAGATAATAACAAAAAAATCATAGGAATAGTTAAAGAAACTGAACAGGCCAAGAAGGAATATAATGAAGCTATAAAAGTATTATCATATTTTATAATAAAAATTTCTCATTAATATATGCTAATAACATTTATCAACATAAAGCATATCATTAAATCATTAAGCAAGGTCATGGTGCTTATTTACTTGAAGAACAAGATTCAGAAGTATTCAAATGTTCTGTCGGTAACATTAATCCCGGACAACAAATTGAGATCAAAATTAAATACATGACTGAACTTCAACACGATGTAGAAACAGATAGTGTTCGGTTCATTTTGCCAGCTGCCATTGCTCCAAAATATGGATCGCAAATTTTTAACCACAAAAAACTGCATCTTTCCGACAAATTTTCATATTCAGATTATTCTCCTCTCAAGTTTTCCATAGTTTGTAGGATGAATTCGCCAATTTGTAGTATCAAATCGCCTTCTCACAACATTACTGAATTAAGAAATAAACCAAGTATATCTAAAGTAACTTTGGATGAAAATATTTTTTTTTTAGAAAAAGACTTCATACTTCTTATTAAAAGTCAGGACATTGATAGACCTCGGTAACTAAATTTGAAAAGAAATTTTAGCGAAAAATAGATTGTATTTACCATTTCATCGTTATAAATTTCATTTCTTTTCAAATTTTAGAGCATTTATCGAATATAATCCTATAACCGAGACCAACTGTTTAATGCTTACTCTGGTTCCAACATTCAAGCGTGGCTCAATTAACCATGATTCAATTAGTATGGAATTGATATTTATCATAGATAGGTACGTAACTAGTTAAAATGAAATTATGTTGTTTACCTCACTGCAAAAGAATAATAACCATAATACTTAATAGTTCTAGATCCATGAAAGGTAGATCGATTGAGAAAGCATCCAAAGCTCTCCAATATTTACTTCTTTCTATTCCAAAAAGTTGTTTCTTCAATGTATTATCAATTGGGAACAAAAAATTTGATAATTTCTTTGAGGAAAGTCAACAATGCACAAAAACAAATATCTCGAAAGCTATCGAGAAAGTTAAAAAAATCACTGCAAAGGGCGGCACTCACATTTATGAAACTTTAAAGTGGGTATTTGAACATTCACGCTCTGATATGCCAACATCAATTCTTTTGTTCTCAGATTTTGAGACGTCGCATGTAAACCAAATTATTAAACTTATAAAAGATAATCAAGAAAAAAAACATGATTTAAGAATATTTTCAATCGGAATGAATAATATTGTTTCACATCATTTCATTGAATCTATTGTTCGAGTTGGTAAGGGATATGCACAATATGTGTCCGACTTAGAACAAATGAACAGAAAAGCGATGGCCATGCTTAGGAATTCATTAAATCCACCTATCTCAGATTATGAAATTACATGGACTATTGAGTCTAATGGGGAATCTCAGAATAATGGCCTCAATGTTCAGCAAGTTCCGTCGAAAATTCCAGAACTTTATATTGGCATTCGTTTAATAATTTATTGTATTTTAGAAAAGGGTGTTAAACCAGGTGACAAAATCACATTAAATTCAAAATTTCAAGATCCATTAATTGTTCCGTTGGATCAACCTCATTTGCAGGGATCAAAAATTCATACACTCGCAGCTAGAAAACTTATTCAAGAAATTGAATATGGAAATTATTATCCTAATCATGCAAACAATAAAAAGTATATTCGTGAACAAATTGTTTATTTGGCAAAATCTTATAATCTTAGTTCCAAATATACTAGGTAATGATTTTTGTTTTGCCCATAAAATCATAAAATTTCAAAATTCTATTAATAATTTATTATATTGTTCAAATAAGCAGCTTTATTGCAGTTGAAACACAAAATATTGAAAATCATGAAAAAAAGAAGCAAGAAATTGCGAAAAAACTTATCAAAGAAAAATATCGAATACCTAAAATGCAAAATGCATTTGGATTTGAAAATGAACATGAAAAAAAATTGGCTATAGAGATTGAAAAACAAAAAAATGTAAGCAAAAAGTATATGGAACTTAAAAAGGGAAGTGCAAAAAAATTATTAATGGAATTTGTGAGAGAACCCGAGAATCAAGATTCTATAGAACTTGAAATAAAAGAAAAAGCCATGATAAATGAAAAATTTAAAGATCTTGAAAGGCAAAGAGAAGTGGAGTTAAAAAAAGAAAAATTAAGAAAAGAAAACGAAATAGAAAGACTAAAAAAAGTGGAACTAAAAAAACAACATAAAAAGGAGAAAATTGATTTTGAAAAAATTGAACTTAAAAATAAAATGCCTAAAACACTTCCTGATATAAAAACCACACCACTTAGTGGTAGCAGACCTACGATTATTGAGACTGTTAGTACGCTAATACCACCTGAAGACGATAGCAGCTCTGAACCGGACGGTTCAGAATGTAGTGAATTGGACGATCCCAAGGAAGAAGTCGATGACTATACTCAAATCGGAAAGGAAAAGAAAATTACTAAAAAAAATGATAAATTACCCTGGTTTCCAGAAGTTCTCATTACCGTTGAAGAACCAGCCTCTCTAAGAAATTACAAAGAAAATATCTCGAACCCAAACGATGATAGCCTCCAATTTCCTTCGGGTGATTTTTATATTAAGTCAGCTATTTCATTGTCTGAGGTTTCTACTTCATCCACATCCGCCCAGAACATGGTAGTCGATATTAAACGTTGTTTACTCCTGTCTTGGTGTGTTGTCAAGGACGGAACAAAGGCCATTATCTCTCAACAAAAGAACGTTGATCAAGATGGCCATCAACTTTGGCGTCACGAAGATGGTCTGTTAATTAATAAGCAAACAAATTTATGTCTGGAAGTGGAATCAGGTAAGGCTTTACAATAATAAAATATGCATTAAACTATAATAAAATCAACTCAATTATTATAGTGAAAGAGGGGATTTGTCTCAGTGTTCACCAGAAAAGAAACTTAAATCATGCTGATAATCAGCATTGGATCCTTACCACTGGAGGATGTATTGCGCTAAAAAACAATCCTAAGTTCGTGATTAAAATTCTTTCTAAAGGAACAACTGTAGGAAATGGGTCACATCTTACCCTCATCAATACTGAATCTAAAAACTTTAAAGACGACCTTAGTTCTAAATTTGTTATTATTCGTAAAGAGCAATACCTTAATGAGATACAAATATAAAAAATAATTAAATTGTGATTTTTCATAACTTTACCAACGGTTATTATCACTAGATCGTGCTATTGTAACAAATTGCATTTAGCTATTATTAATTCTCTTAACTAATTGGAATCAAATAAATTTTATTTTGTTATACTCTTTTTCCTTTCATGTACATTATTTTTTACACTAGTCCCATTTTAATTACAATTGCAGACTTTACTGCTTTATCGTTATTTACCTTAAAACCTTTATTTAAGGTGGCCTAAGTGCATAAAATCAAATGCAATTCGAGTATACATGGTTACATTAAAACTGCGCCTTAGAACATTTGGGTATACACATTAATTTTACGGTGTTCTCGTTAAAATGTCAGTTCAGGCGTCAAATATTGCATGTAATCGTTAAGATTATGGGCTTACGTTCTAATATTTCAAGACACAGTCAACTCTCTATAAGTGCACAGCTGAGGGCCAATAAAAAATTGGTAGACTAAAATTATTAAAAATATTAGCGAAAAATTTATTTGCAATGTGATAAATTATTGTTAGTACAGAAATCGCTCAGAAATTGTTAATCGAGATTTCGTCAAGAAATTTCTGATGGTATTTATGAAAGCAAACAAAATGATATCGATATATAATTGAGAACTATTATTTTGATATTGAGAGGTCCTAATTCGGCGAGTCTGTCGCTAATCGAAGGTCGGCTTCGTGTAACGTTCGGACGGCTTTCGGT